TAGTAATCACTTCATTTCCATTAAAGATGGTTTTGTTATCTTCTGTCTATTTTTTTTCTTCTTTTCTTTTTTGTGGATACAAGGATACAGTTTTTGGTAGTTACAGTTTACCCCTCTGCGAGCAAAGGTGTAGTTGACTGTTGTTTTTTATTATTGCTTCAAGATTTAGCCTTCGTATTAAGGAAATTTAACCTTTCAGGTAGGGTAAATTGCGTTTTAGCCGCTAGAAATTGGTTGGTTAATAATGGCTGGTGAGGAGAACCACAGTAAAGAATGTGAAACAGAAGCCAGTAAAGATGTTAAACAGACAGGTTTGTATAGTCACAAGTATTAAGGTAATAAGAAAGAATACCAAGGATTGAACTACCAAACAGAAAATAAATAAACCTAGTTTTATTGGTGGGCGAATAATGCTATCTCTAAATATAGGACTTTTGTTTAGACGGTCCTGTTACTAAGCAGTTTAGTTAAGTTAATTCATTTTTGAGGTGCTTTTTTCGGGAAATATTAGTTGAAAATATGATTGTTAAAGATGATTAATTGACGCTAGTAGTTTTTATGCAGTTACTTTACTTGAAGGTACTTTACTTCTTTAACACCCTTTTCTATTGCTAAAATGGTTTTAATTATGTAAGTATGTTACATAGTCGACCAAATCTCCAATCTTAGGCATTATTTTTTGGCCTAAGAAAGGACAGTTATTTGACTTTTTGCTTTACAGTAGGCAGTAGCCGAAAATAAATGATTGTTTTTTATTTTCAAATAAAATTTTGGAGTTGGATTAACACAGTAGAACAGCTCGTCGTTCAGTTTGCTGCAAAGCTGTGATTATTTTTTAGAAAATGTTTTTCTACTGATTCCTTCCTTAAACTGAATTTGATAATTTATCATCTTCTAATTTAATTATTAATATTTTTTAAGTGATATTCTTAACAAGATTATACTTTATTATTTACTTTCGCTGAAGATGTGCTGCTTGATCTTGTTTTTTTTTTTCTACAGTTATTTTGTTTGACTACCATCTTTTTTTTTTTTTATTTGTACTAAATTTTAAAGACTAGGGGTGGGCCACTTTAAAGCGATGAGTGTTTTTTGCTTTCATTTCTCGTAATCAGTTTAAGTTTTCATTTAGTCTGTGAAAGAGGTCAGATGAAGTAGCAATTTGTTGTCATTATTTTTAGATCTTCAATCGAAAGATGGAGAATTCAAAGACGAGATGAAGTTACCGCCAATTCAAAGTCTTGAAGAGTTTAGAGATTTAATGTACCGGGTAAAGTTTATTTATTATAGATGTAGTCACATTCTATTTCTTAATAGTTATTTTTAAATTTTTAAATTAGATTTCTAAATTTTTTTTATGGTTTTAGATGCAGTCTGTTAGAAGGCTAATCGTTTCTGCTCTTCTGAGTAATGCAAAATTGCTTGACGAGTGGAAAGCTGTTTTACATGATGCATTTGGTACTCTTACTGACTCTCGTACTAAAGCTTTCCAACGAGAAATGCAAACTGCTTGTGCGAAGCTTCTGATAAATGTTAAGGACGAAACAACGGGTTTGACTGTAAGCTTTTGAGATCATGTTGAGCTTGTCAAGGAATGCGCTCTTGTCATATAAATTATGATTATATACATAATACATATGTTTCAGAAAGACTTGAAGTTCTTGGAGCTTTTGGATAAGGCTCGTGTAGAACATCCTGGCTTATGCTTTTCGGAGCTTTTTTCTTATGTTGATTTGGGGTCAATTCTTGCTCCTTATCATCCTATTAGTCCCGCAAAATTTCAAGACGAGCAGTGTCAAACAGTAAAGTAATACAATGCTTTTGAATTGTTTTGGAGAGCTTTATAAATTCAGTTTTTCTTCACTTTAAACTAGTACTGAAGTTATATTTCTAATTTTTGTTTATTTTTTCATGCTTCAGCTCAACCATTTTGCTAGCAATTTCATTCGTCTGAAATATTTTGGTTATTTTAAGCTTTCTACGGGTATTTGTGACATCTAATTCTACTGATAGGAAACCAGTGTTTATAACTGACTGGGACGGCACTATGAAAAATTATTGTTCACAGTATGCAACGAATTTACAGGTCTTTTTATTTGCAGCATTTGTTTCGTAAAGTCCTTACGTTTTCATTTCTGATGCGTCTGTTATTCTTCAGTAAGGTTTGGAGCTAGAGTAATGTACTTCCTGTTTATTGCGCTCGTTTAACAAAGTACCGCTGTTTTAGCCCATCTACAGTGCGATTGGTATGACACGATTTGCAGAACGATTTACGCGTCTAAGTGCGGTATTGACTGCTGGGCCTTTGCGAGGGCCTGGAATTTTGGATTTGACTGCTATGCCTACAGATGGGCCTGTTTTGTTTAGTGGGTCTTGGGGAAGAGAGTGGTGGTTGCACGGCAAACGTATTGTTCACGATGATGGAATATCTGACGAGGGTTACAGCGCTTTGGAGAAAATGAATGACGAGGTGAGATTTATTTATTTATTGGTAAGATTCCTTTTTCTATGAAGAACTTGTTTTTAATGGCGTTTACTCCTGATGCGTTCGGATTGTGACTAGAGGATAGAAGCACGACGTTCGGATTTATTGGGCAATTCCGAATACGAGAAAAAATTTTTTAATTTCATTTTCAACTAATTTTGTTCTGTCTTTAGATGAATTCGTTATTGCACTCAGGAGATTATTCTATGTTTGCAATGGTTGGTAGTGGGATGCAGCGCAAAGTTGACCGACTGACTTTAGGAGTCCAAACAGTTTGTGGACATGTTCCGCCTGATCTTTCTAAACGGTATCAAGATGAAGTTAAGGAGCGTATGCATCGTATCGATCCACAAAATCACGTCTCTTTTTTAATTCCTTGTGCTCGTTAGATTTTGATCTTTTAAATTAAATGGGGACTTTATATTTACCGTTATTTAAAAAGACCTTACACAGTACTGGAAAGGAAAATTTGGGACTTTTTACTACCTGCTTAACATGGCAGTTTTCTCCATCCTTCTGCAACCTAAAAGACTCGTGTAATTATGGATTTAAAAGTTTTACCTTTTTTCAAAATAATTTAAATTAATTTAGATTCTGGTATTTGATCCGTCAACATCGTTAGAAGTTGAGGTGGTTGCTCACAACTCTGGAAATGTTTGGAATAAAGCCAACGGGGTAGACCGTGTCATGACAGCCATGAACGACTCGTTGGAGACGCCTGGCCGGATACTGATTTGTGGTGATACAAGATCTGATTTACCAATGGTGCGACAGGCTGCAGCGAAAAATCCTGAGGTATGTTGTTGCGCTTTTTCTATTTTGTATTTATTCTAAGCTACCTCTTCTTGTCCTTTCTTTGTCTTATTGTACTAGGCGGTGATTTGTTCGTGAACGTCGCCAACATTTTTGGTACTCTTTTCTAATCTTTTTCTTTTTAATTTGGCATGGAACCGGTCTTTGTACATTTCCTCTCTTGTAAGACTGCAGATTTTAGTGTACTACTGCATATTTGTTTTCTCCACTTCGTCAAAGCATAGTCTGCAATGGTATAGCGCATTGTTTAACCGTTAAAGCCAATTTGGTTTAGGGCGTCATGGTGATTTTCGTTGGATTAAACGATGAACTACGACAAGAAGTTTGCCATATAGTAGGTGACGAAAGAAGATGTTGTTTTGTCTCTTGTCCGGATGTTATTCATGCCTCTATGGCCACAATTCTTAATGAGGATGTACGAGGAAATTTAGGACTGTCTTCGTAAATTTTTAAAGACCTTTCACAGCTTCTGTTAAATTTTTTGCATGTTCTTCTCCTGAATTGAAGATTTCTGAAAAATTTAAATAGGCTTTTCATATTGTTTGGTGCTTTAAACTAACATAACTGAATAAAAAAAGAAATTGCTATAAAAGTATTCGGAGTTGAAAATTCTGTTTTATATGTAAGTTCTAATTCTTATTAACGTATTAGGTCGTTCTTTTATTGTTTTTTATTTTTAGGTGTGCTGCAAAGCAAAAACTGCATTTTTTATTAGAGTAAGGCTTTGAAATCAAATTAAAGGAAGAGGGATTTAATTAAGTGTATTATTATTTAGAGTGTGGTTGCGAGAAAGGTCTTCATGTGAGAAGTTAATATTATATCATAATTCCTGTAAAGTTTTGTTGAAGCACTGGAAATGAGCATTGGGAGAGTCTTTTTAACAGCACGAAGTAGGGTATGGGTTTCGTTTGAACTGTTTTAACAGTAATTTCATCAATAACTTAGTTTTATACATTATATGGTTAATGAACTTGGTGACAAATAGTTTACTAATTCCGACCTAAATTTTCTCTATTTTTGAGACTGAAACAATCAAAATGGGTAGGAGAGGAGAGGGCACATAATTTTTTTCTGAACATAGTATGTATGTTTTTTGGTTTGTTATCATTACAGCAATAATGTTTCTCGTTTGCTTTTTTATTGAGTGAGCTGGCTATAAACTGAAGATTGGCGTCTTATTTGAAATATACTATTGTTTATTCTTGTTTTAAGAGATGAGGCTTTAGCCAACACCTTTTTCAACTTGGTGTTATAAAGCCTTTCCACATTTAGTGTACTGTTGAAGCCTGTCTTCTACAGCACTTGCCATGCTGCGCTATTAGTTTTTTAACCATAAGTAATTCTATTTCAAGCTGTCATATTTCTTGGGCACAAGGAGTTCAAAATTCTGCAGCAGGTTCCCTTTATTGTTTCTTTATTAATCAATTTTTTATCAAAAGATAGGACAAGTTCCAAAAAATTAGCTATTAGATCGTTCTGTATGGTGGCATTAGGAAGTTTTTTACCTAATCGACGTGAAATTTGATATAATTTTTATTTTATCCATGCCAGTGTAGTTAGTCAAATTTGAGGGCTATTATTTGTGCTGGTTCGACACAGGCAGATCTACCAGTCTTATTCTGTGGTGTATTTAGTTGTTAGTGTCATGTCGAGATGAACTTTGTTAATAGGAATATTGAAACAGATTCTGCGTAATATTTTGCAGTTTCTTTAAAGCTTATCAGTGGAGGCTCGTTCGCAATGTTTTAATTGGTAATTTGTCTTGTGGGAAATGATAGTAGCCCTATAAAGTTTTTTAACCACTTATATATTGTTCGTACTCGTCAGCATTCAATAATCTGGAAGTAACCGCCGATGGAAAAGTTGCACCGTAACTGGTTGCGGCAACGTCTTCGTTTAGAATATGGTTGTTTGCATCAAGGACTGCAAGTTCCTTTTTCAAAACCTGGAATTGAGTTTCTTCAGGTCTCACACTGGTTCTGCTTGGTTGGAAAGTAATAAAATGAACTTACATTCTTGTAAATTAAGTAGATATAGCAAGCATGAACGAGGAGGCTGTAATAAGCAGAGATCAAGAAGGTGACGGCTTCGAGCCCACTAAAATTAGACTTTGGTAAGATTTGTTGTGTTCTGAGTAATATTCTGAAGCTTTAGCAATGGATTGAATTATTTTGTGGTGAGCAGAAGATCAGGTACTTACTATATTGAATACGACGTGTTTCTTGACAGTAGCGACAAAGGAATCTGAAAAATGTTGCATTAAACATCTCTTCAGTTGTTGTACCTAAAGATTTTTCCAAATGTGAAGGGCTGTTCATCTATTATTATTCACAACTGCGAGCCGTCATTCTCGGTCGGAAACGAATGGGCTACCCTAAGTGAACTCCAAATAAATAGTCGCTTGAAGGAGCTGTAGATTTGTGAGTTTAAAGGACTTACTGGGATTGCGCAGAGGATTGAAATTAACGTGTAGAAATGTATCAAGGGCAGTAAAAACTGTGGCTGTCCACCAAAGATGGCATAAATAGCAAGGAGAACAAAGACAAGATACATTACAACTGAACAAGTGCATGCTCCTGCAAAATCACAACAATTGGTGAATCGGTAGGATGCATTTGGTGGTAATATCTGAGAGGATAAGTAAGTGGTTAGTTGGAATTTTTTACAAAACTAACTATGTGCTGATCGCTTTTCTTCTTAGAAGTAGTAAAAGTGCAAATAATTTTCAACCTTGGATAAACTGCACGGATGACGCAAATCCTTCTTCACCAAAAATTTGTGCCAAATACTCCTGAAAGGCAAAAACTGTTTTAAAATCTTCGAGAGAGGAAAGCATGTATATAAGTAACCGTCCTGTTTTTTCTGTGCTTATGCCACTGTTTTTTTCATAGCATTTAGTTTGAAGAACTAGTTAGAAAAAAAGCTCATCTAAGTAGTAAGTCGTTAGTCTTTGGGAATGACAATTAATGCTTATTAGTGAATTCAACGCACTGGAATCGTGCGAAAATGAAGGTCAGAAAAAGTAAAACAGAAACCGCATGTGGACAAAACGTTCTCTCCTAGTTGTTTTGGGGAATTTTGCAAAAATAAAATGATTGCTGGAAAGCTGTGTAAAAAGCTGATTTTTTTTGGTAATACTGATGTTGCTATAGACTATTTGATTTCTGGTGTTTTTCATTTTAATTCTTCGCTAGTACCAGAAAATCAGGTCAAAGTTTTGCTGTCATTGTTCATACAAATTTTAATATAGAGACCTAGCTTTTCATTGTCATTTATTGAAGTTGAAGAGATTTTTCAAAGTTTGTTTACAAATTAGTCTAAAACCTTTGTAAGGGTATGAAATTTCTATCGGTAGTAAGATTACAGATAATTTTTGCATTATGTTGCACTATTTAAATCATTTCCAAATAAACTTGTGAACGTTTTGACTAAATTTTTGTTGACTTTTTTTCACTGGATGCAGAAAATTCTTGTAATTCATGGAAACTTATCGCCTATACTTACTGACTAGATGAGTAAAAAATGAGATTAAAATTTTGAAATAGGAGAAAAATATGAAAAAAAAGGAAAAAAGGAGAGCAGAGAACGACTTACTGCTGGTATTGTGACACTCATTAAAAATACTGCAGCAGAAAGAGTTGCTAAAAAGTGTAGAAGAACAAAGATCAGCGTTGGAATTTTGGCATTAGAACAGCCACAAACTGCTATTCGATAAGCTGGTGAATCCAGCTTCCATAATTCTTCAAAATGGCTCTTCAGATTGCGACAACTTTCTTTTTCAAATCGAATATTGTTATCCATTTCCATACGGATTCTGAAGACCACTGTATAAAAATGGAATTTAAAAAACAAAACATTGGCTCATGATAAATTATATAGGTAAATCTTGTAAATTGGGATTGTTTTATACAGAGAGAGGGCAAATAGTACACAAGACAAATATGCACATAACAGAGTGAAGTTTCAACAACTCTTTACAATGTTAATAATTATAAATCATCTTTTCTCTATTTTTATTAAGAATCATATATTAAAAGCAGCCAAAAGGTTATTTTAAAAATAAAAATATTTTATAAATGTATACATATTTTTTTATTTCTAAAAATTGAAGAAACTTTTTAATTTTGACATTAAGTTTACAATTAATTATTTATATCGTTTGTTACATTAAATTGTTCACTAAGGCTGAATGAAGATGCATCGTTGTTGGGAAACATTTTCAGTAATGTAGAGACATTTATCAGTTCTAAACAACAGTCCAAAACAGGATAGGAGCATTCAGTCTAAACCAGGTGTAGCAACAATTATACTTTGACAAATTTTTAGTACTGTCATTAAATTTTGTTATCTATTGAAGCGTTAAATAAATATAATTTTCTAGCAAAGTTTTAATGAATGTAAAATTTTGAAAACTTTAGCAGTACTTTTTGTACAAATACAAATTTTTTGCAATAACCGATTACAGTTCTGTACAACAGATTATTCTGTAAAATTATGTGGCAATCAGCTGTGTTGGTAGCCAAACTGTAATACCTCGCGCACATCTTTCTTTTTTGAGTTTTTTTTTTTTTTTTTTTTTTTTTTTTTTT